TAGGGAAGGCATCTCGCCAATAAGCACTCAGCTCCATTCAGTTGCCCAGACTCCACCCCACAAGGGATTATGGGGTCATTAAAAGAAGATGATGATGCTATCAGATCATATTATCTGATTTAGTAGATTGTCTGGCTATGTCTTTATTGTTACCGTTATCTATTAATGGCTGTCCTGAACAATTAGCTTCTCTCTGATTTGTGTTAAGCCACCAATGCCAGTACAATCCCATTTTAAAGCCAGCTTTAACCCCCCCTCCCCCCCAAAAGATTCCTGAACACTTACCATTAATAATATGAGATGTGTTGCCCTCTTCATTCTACTCCTACAGCACTTTCAGTAAATGAGATTTTAAATCACTTCCGCTGCTCTGAGAACACCCCAGGAGTTTGCACTGGCCAATTGAAAGCTGTTCTGCAAAAAAAAATTGAAAGACCTAAAGTTTGGTTCAACAAATACCTGCTATGATTTGAGTATAGGCATTGATTGTCAGGAATAGATAACCTGCAGTGATAATGACATTTGGATCTAGATTTTTTCCATGTGGACCAAGTTTTCTACTACTAAGCTGCTTCCTTTCCCAATAAAGGAATGGGTCCATTGTCTCAGGAAATGTGTACTAACTCATGACTCCATGATTTCATATTTATTTAAAGGTCATCTGGTAAACAAGATCAGGGCATTTGTTCACCTGACAATTACATCTAATCTGATAACCAGAAGCATTCAGAGGATAGGTCTTCCAATTACCTGTTATATTACTTTCTTAGCTAAAGATACCAACAACTGAGTTTGAGAACTGCTACAATACATGCAGATAATATGTTCATCTAGTTAATTGTAATCCTTGTGAGTTTTTACAGATGAAAATGGGGACATCCTTGTTATTCAGACACAATATATCAATAAAGACTTCACTACACAAGGGGGCCAAGGATAGATAATATCTAAGCAGGTTGTTGGTGGATATATCTTGATTTTAGAGCTTTGGATGTAAATGCATGTTCATTTATTTCAAGCTGAGTACATTTAGCACCTCCCTGTGTGGTCTCTCTTCAACAGCTCTCTCCTCTGCCAGGAGGTAAACAGACTGTGCAGAATAATTGATATATTTATACTGTGGGTATCTCTAGGTAAAGGGAGCCACTAAGCTTCCAGGCCTTGTAAGTATGTCATCAGCAAATGAAAAGATTCAGAAGTTATATGAGCGTTATGAACAATTTAATGAAACAGGCTTTATGAAATAATTAAAGGCCTGGAAAAGTTTATTCTCCCCCTCCCAACTATATGTTACTTTGGGTATATGCTACTTAATTTCAAACTGGGTCTGTCTGTCTGTCTGTCTGTCTCTGTCTTTATCTCTCTCATCTATCTATCTATCTATCTATCATCTATCTATCATCCATCTATCATCCATCTCTCTCTTTCTCCCCCCCTTCCTCCCCCCCTCTCTTTCTCATCTCACACCTATCAATTTATTTCTGTTTTGAAGTGAAGCACCAAAACTGGAGTTTAGAAGGAGGTCTCATATCAATAACCAAATTCTTTCACAATCACTCTTAGCTGGAACCACAGAATGGTTTTTGGGTCAGAAGGTAAACTTGAAAATAAATTAATGTTTTATGCCTACCAGATATTCTTGGGAGTTTCCTGTGATGATACTCCAGTGATACCAGCATGTCATGAACTGCTCTTAAAAGTTCCAAAGAGATTAATCTTTATAATGTCCTTTTGTCATGTCCTTCCATGTTCCTCAGTAATCCTTCTGCTATTCTAGTTACTTTTGATCTAATTGGACTTTTTCACAAGGCAATAACCAGCATTGATTTAATGCTCTTTGCTATCTGTCAGCAGCAGTGCTATCCAGGTAAATGTCATGGGCTTCCATTCTGAAAATCTCTCAGTTGAAAGGGACACATTTAAACAAAAGCAAAATATTTATATGTCTCAGAAGTGCCATCTATGCCCTTCCCTAAGATAACCTTGGGAGAAATGAGGATGCTTGATGCAACAGTAGCATGACTCTACAGCATTTCTCATCTTGTTTAGAAATTAAAGAGTGAGAGAAAAGGTGCCAGGGCTACAGGAAAGAATGGAGACAGAAAGTACACCAGGTGAAAAGAGTGACAAATAGAGTCCCTGGAGGGTGAAAATGGAAGAGGAATAGAAATAGATGAAAATTGTGTATCCTTAATTGTAGGCTTCCAGAGGACATTTGGCTTACAGTTCACCACTGCCATTGTTTCCCAAGAAAATTTCTCCCCATATCTAGGAACATATTCACAAACTCATTGTAGCAGATAAAGTGCTGTCAGATGTGATAATATGATGATTTTACCATCAATTCTTGCTGTTGTGTCAAAGTCAGAGGCAGAAGTGAAAGCGAGTCTATCCTGTTTCAGCACCTGCCCTCTGGAATGTTATCCTGCCAGAGATTCAAGTTCTTTCTGATGTTCAGGAAATTGCTAAACACCTAATTGTTGTCCCAGGACTTGAGTTGGAGAAGTTCTGGAATCCCTCTTTGAGTATGATTAACTTATGATTAAGGGTATTGTTCTACTGGTCAGACAGGGCCCCTCTTTTAAAGCCAAGTTGCCTAAATTTGGATAAATAAATAAAATATCAGCTGATTTTTTGGGGGGGAAACATAAGCATTATATTATCTGATTAATACTTGGATGGAAAATCATCCCGATTAGTAGCTAATCTGGAAAATCAAAAGAACATTCAAGAAAGATGGCCTCCCGGTCCTTGGGTTAGGATATTTTGGAAGTGACCAAGACATGTTGGAGACCTGTAATCTAGGACAGGGGTCGCCAACCTTTTGGACCTCAGGGACGACCAAACTCATAATTTTAAATCCCAGGGATCACTAATTGGTTCTGTGGGCATGGCCTAATTTGTGGGTGTGGCTTGGTGGTCATGTGACTGGCTGGGCATGACTTGTATGTAAATATTATAAATATTTATATAAATATTGAATTTTTTATAAAAAAAGAGCAACTTTTACCCAAAATCTGGCAAAGCAGGCAGGCAGATTGAGTTGCTCACAGAATTATAGATTCATTCAGAAATCTATCTATCTGCCATTGACTAGCTCAATCTTGTCACATAAAATTTGCTTGCAAGCACACTCATAAAATTAACTCACAACACACCATGTATGTAAATATTGAATTTTTTATTTTTAAAAAAGAGCAACTTTTACCCAAAATCAGGCAAGGCAGGCAGGCAGACTGAGTTGCTCATAGAATCATTCAGTGATCTATCTATCTGCCATCGGCTAGCTCTGTCTCTCAAATTGGCTTGCTGTGAGTCTGCATTGAATAATATAACCTTCAGTCCTAAGGGAGGTTCGGCTGTGCTTAAAAGCAGAGCTGAAGATCTAAAGACTAGCTAGAAAGCAATAAATCCAACCATTTCCTGCTTCCTAGCTAATCTAAATCTCCTGGCACAGCAGAACAGATGATAGTCGGAAAAAGGAAAACTGGCAATTTAGCAAGCAAGTTTACCGGGTAAGGAGTGAGTGGGCGGGGAGGGTTCTTGTGGGCCATGTGGGCTGCGCAGCCTTGTGTTTCTGCACAGCCTGGATTAATTGCTTTGTGGGGTTGCTCTGGGGGTGAGATTTCTCTGCAGCCCACCAACATTTTCACATGGCCCAACAGTGGGCCGTGGCCCAACAGTTGGCGACCGCTGATCTAGGAGGAATTTGATCTGGTTGATCCTGAGGAAGTGGACAGGATCCTTTTGGCTGTGAACAAAGCCACCTGTTGCAGGATCCAATCTGAGTCAGTCACCAGGACCAGAGGTTTAGTCTTCTAAGCTTTTGGACTCATGCTGAAATTCATCCTCAGGGAACTTGTCTCTCCACAATGTGTGTGAGAAAGAAATTCCCTGAGTATGGGCTTCATATGAGACCAAAAGCTCAGAAGACTAAATCCAGCGGTTCCAGTGACTGATCCAGATTGGCTCCTGCCACATTATCCTGGGACATATATGTTTGTCTTCACTGGTGAAAACCATAGTTTGGTATCTATGTCTCTCTTGTTTGGTTAAGACCTCCTGGGATCTGGAATTTGATGGGTCTGAATAATGTGGAAGAGAGTGAAGCCATTTGCCTTGAAGGAAGTGATAATGCATCTCCTTGTCAAGAAGTCGCATTAGGCTCAACAGTGTTGGACAACTTTCAACTCTTTTAAGGAAAAGTAGTTCAGAAGGTGGTTGGCAGTCAGCTACAAAGGGCTCTGGATGAAGTGGATTACCTGGACCCTTTTCAATCTGGATTCAGGCCAGGGAATCCTGAAATGGCATTGATCATGCAAGATTATTTCAGAGAGTTCAGGATGGGAAGGTGCAATTATTCTGGCCTTCCTAGATCTTTCAGCACCTTTCAATAACGTTGACCATGTTATCCTTCAGGACCAGCTTTGAGAGCGGGGAGTGGGGAGCAGGGAGCAGGGAGCACTGTTATGCAACTGTGTTTTCATGGCCAATTCCAATCAGTATTAGAGAAGGAGAAGAGGTTGACTCCTAGACCCCTGCAATGTGTCATGCTACAGGGTGAAGGTCTTTCACTGATTCTTTTTAATGCATACATTAAACTTCTGGGCAAGGTCATGTATGCTCAGCTCTCTCCACCCCTAGAATAGAATAGAATAGAATAGAATAGAATAGAATAGAATAGAATAGAATAGAATAGAATAGAAT